TTAGGAACTATATCCCATTGCCACAGAAACAAGGACAAGAAATAGGGGTATAAGTTGCAGCTATCTAGATTTCATTTAAATATAAGGATAAACTTTCTGACGGTAAGATCTGAAACATTCTACTTATGGAGATTGTGGGTTTTCCATAATGTTTTTCAGGCTAGACACTACCAAAGGTTGGCCCACGTAATCCTTGAAGTCCCTTCAACCACCACACTTCTATGAGTCTGTGACTTATAATGTAAAATGGTAGAATTCAGTATCTTTTATAAAAGCATCTCAAATTTCATCAGTTGTAAAATAAACAATTTAATTAAAATCCAGAGAGAACAAATATGTTTTTAAACTTTTCAAAGCTGTGACAAATGAAGCACCCATTACCTCTCCTCAGGGAGGCTAACCCACAAGCTAGGGCCCTCTTCTCTCACTGGTGCTAGCCAATACAGTAAACCTTTCATTTTGCAGACCATAATTCAGCAGACTTGAGATGTAATCTGAATTTAAATCCATTGTTTGGTGAATCAGTCTGGACAATGTTTACATATTTGATGTACATTATGTACATTTTATATACATTTGACATACATTAGCTATGCATGATTCATGTGAAAACACCCATTTGCCATGTAATAGACATTCAGCTGTAACACACACTCTTTCCTCCCATTAGTCTGTTATGGTATTAATCATAGTAATAGGCCAAAACTAAGGGCATCCAGAGAGAACAATAAAACAGAATCATATGAGTGTGGGCAGTCCTTCGATTCAGCTGGGTCTAATCTGTTAAAAGTTTAAAAGCCAGTACCAACACCAGGGCCCAGAAATGTGCAGCCAGCTAATGCATTGTAATATATCTCAGAAATTTAGCTGTAGTGAAGATGTAAACATACATATTCTGGAGAAAATGAAGTTTGTTCCCTACAGCACTGTTTTTCAGACCATACTTAGGAAGTACGGTCTGAAAAAAATTAAAGCATGCATAATTGACTCTAGTTCAGCTTTCCTCATATACAGTCACAGCCAACATGCTAACTGAGATTGGTAAAAGACATTAATTACTTCTACCAATGATACAGAGAGATACATGTTAATACAGAGAGACAGACCTCTAAGGAAGATCAGAGTAACCTCCGAACAATGAATTTGGCTGTTCACAAGGAAAACAATTTATTCTTCTATCCAGATAAGAACAGTATCCAGAATTTCTGTCCATTTCCAGAAATGCCTCCAAGAACCTATTCAGGAATTTTACAGCCTCTAGAGGATTAGTATACAGAAATCATAGAGAGAGCTGTGTGTCACTATCACATTGGTGCTCATGCTTTCAGATAACTCTGTTCAATGGTTTTATGCAGACGATTAAAGACATAGGATGCAGCATAGACCCTTATGGCAGATATAAGACTATGGAGCACAGCATAGGTCCTTGAGCACAAGCTTCTGACCAACCAAAAATGATAGGATATACCAGGAGCCTATTTCTTTTAAACTCAACCCAGTCAGCCATGCCTTGAAATGCACTGTGTTTTTTAGACTATGGCTATAAAGTATGATAATAAAAGCCACTGAAGGTGAAGATCCAATGTACGTAATTAAACTTTGTATAACATGATCCCCCTCCCCTTTTTTTTTAGTAAAATGATTTTAAAATATCCTGCTGCCTTCCTAAAAATACTCTTAGGGGGGATATTAAATAGAACCCCATAACATTAGTAGTAGTAGTAGTAGTAGTAGTAGTAGTAGTAAT